CTCTCAGTATTATGTGGGAAACAGAAAAATGTACTGCCTTGCCAGAGTAACACACCATACACTTGGCCTCTTTTGCCCTCTTCCCATGCTACATTGTACAGTGAGTTTTGGTCTTCAACTGAAAGCCGGCATTTGCTACTGCCAAGAAGCATTTTTGCATGGGTATACAGCTTAGGTAACCAGCAGACACTTCCAGACGAAAACATCTTTCATCATCTGCAACTGCAGAGGGATGAATAATGATGTAAATGATCCTTTCCGGTTCTTCCCTTTTCTAAGTAAGAGAATCTATATTCAATTCATTAAAGCCATCTGTGTGACAATTATCTTACTGTGAAAGCTCTGGATCAGTTTTCCTCATCCAGAACCTCTTATTTGTTGATGCTGTTTGTTACTGATTAGGCCTAAATCTAAAATTCCAGCTCTCTGAAGTGTACACTGCCTTTAAGTATAGGATTGTGACTACTGCGCCTAAAGTATAAAGGTCTTTTGAAATTACAATGGCAATGTTCTTCAAAGTCTTTCATTCTCTAGCTGCCTTGAATAAGGGTCTTCTCATACTCCTCTCACCCTTGGAGTATTGTATTCCTCTACTTTTTAAAATTGTCCATGCAATAGGGAAGAGCCTTCAAAAAGCTTTAAGGAGAAAATTAATTTGTGCAACTTTCTTGAAAAAGTGTCTGTTGCTTACTTCTTACCAAGCCTTGCTAACTACTTTTATGCTATAAACTAAAACTACTATGTTTTCACAGTGTTAATAGCATAAGTAACTGCATTTTCTAGAATCTGGGAAATAATGCCTCCTGTATCATCCAGTTTAAGCCTTTTCTCTACTATTACTCGCTGAAGAATTTAAAGGCTTGGCTGGACCACCATTTCACAGAAGGAAAGAGAATAAAACATAACATTTTGCTTAAGGTACAATTCTTAATGACATGAAGATCGACGTCTAAAGCTGCAGCATTCACATTTAACTATTTATACTCAACAGAAAAAGTGGCTTACCAACCAGTATTGCAGTAACCCTAAAGGAAACAGATATATAGACTCAGACAGGTGTTCTCCAAAACATATTTTTAATGTAATCTGCATTTGGAGCCTAAAGAGAGTCAGAGCAGAGAAATATGCTTGTTATTCCTTTTTTACATTACTGTTAAAGCTGAATTACTTCACGTAAAAAAGAAACTGCAATATTTCCATACACGGAGCTAGCCCTGCATAGGAAGTCTTTGTGATAGAATGGAACACAAATATAATGTTAGTTAAGACCAAACCAATGATAACTTTTCATTCTGCCCTCACTGAGGGGTCAACAGTTACTTTCGCACTCAAAGCCCAGAGATATGGGCCATCTAGTATGTCTCCCATCAACTTCCCCAAAAATTACTTTGAAGCATTAAATACCAGTTGACTTCACTGTAGTCACGGAAGATAGAAATCAGTAAATTAGTGTTTAGTCTACTTACTCATGTTTGTCAACATTTTAGAGTATAACAGGCATTCTACTCTATATTTCAAAGCATGAGGAAGCTATTTCAAGAGCAGTCGTATCCTGCCACTGTCATCTTGCAGCTGATATAAAACTGAGGAGAGGCACATTTTTTCCTCGTAAGGTTTTTATCTTTTTATAAATCCTCTGTAAGGATTTTTCTATAGCACTCTATTCCTTTTTTAAAGTAGTGTTTTGTAAAAATGGAAAGAGGTTAATTTTAACCAGTTGCAAAACAGTTGTTAAAAGAGAGCTCTTTGGGAACTTAGGAAATACACAAAATTACTTCCTATCCAGGGACTGTTGTAAAGTGTATAAGGAAAACTAACCACACTGTTGCCTTGCATTTCAGAAAGTGTCTTTACACTGCACTTAACAAACAGAACAGAGAAACCACAGACAGCTGGAATCTTGTTACCAGCATAAGTGATACAAAAATAGGAATACAATTTTAGAATTTGGTAAGAAAAGCATTTCATTTTTTTTTTTTTTATGAGAATACTCTTCATCTTCCTGGCTGAAGTATTTCAGTTGAAACCCAAGATGATTAGAAGAAAAACCGCTTTGAGCATTTATCCCCTACCCCCAAAAATACAACTTCAGAGGTCTCAACAAGCAAAGAGGTATCAGTGTCTTTGTCTCTAGGGAGCCACACCTGTAAACTCTTTTATCAATTTTAAAACCTGTTTTACTCCTGCAGGACATATGATTTTTTCCGCAGTCTTCTCAACATTTTTCTGCATTGGTAGCTCAGAAGCTGTACATTTCATCAGAAAAAAAGCCCAAAGAGGAAGAAAAGAGAAGAACAGGAAAAGAATGAGTTAAAAAATATGACAAAAATAAAACAATTCTTTGTGTTCTGAATGCTCCTTAGTTCCTTGTCCTTACCACAGTTTGAGTCCAGCTAGCAACACTACTGCATTTAGCATCAACATGTTTCACTAAAATAAACTTATTCCCACCTCTGAAGAGCAACAAGTGTAACAACAACAAAAAAAAAAAGTCTGGTCCAGAAAGTTGGTGTCTATACAGAAGTGGAGACAAAACTGGTTTGAATCAGGGGCCAAGGGGGCGAAACCGCTACTACTCATTAGCACAGGCCTTAGCGGTACATGCATCTCAGACAGGGCCTGCTGTTCCAGCCCTCCCTCCCCATCAGCAAATTGTGAACTAATCCCTAACACATTACCCAGCACAGGCTCTGTACCAATTTGTTTTAAAATTAAGAGAAATTGAACAGGGTAATGTAAACATATGGGGCTAAATGCGGAGTGGTATTAAATGCATGAACTCATCTGCCTGGACACCTAAGTCCAAGTATCTGTCAAGGTAAGAGTTCAGCAGATAGCCTCATCACCGTGAAAAATTAAATTCTGCATGGAGGTGATAGTCTTTAGGACTGATGCACATTGGTAGATATTTAGACAGAACTACATACAATTAATCAGTATGTCCTATTGAATTGGTTTGTTTTTAAAGAGTAGCTAACAGAATGAGCCTTCCTTGTAGCAATTTTCACTAGATTTACACATCCCTAATAGTGATGTGCTTTCTCTTTTGAGAATGTTTACCATTCAAAAATTTGCTAACAATCAACATTTTTTAGATTATATTTCTGGATTAATAATGTCCCAACTAATTTTAAACAGGATATTTGACAGTTATAAAGACAGAAATTCAAACTAAAAACACTAAAGAGCAGTACAGATTCCAGAGTATAAAACTCTAAAAATCTAAAAAACCTGTTCCCTGTGATCTATAGAAAAATTATTTTTATGACCTGAAGTATAATGTGGATCATTTCTAGCATGGTGTGATTTGTTGATTATCCCTACTGACAGAGTAGTAGAAAAGCATAAAAATTAAAAAAAAAAAAAAAAGAATTCAAAAATCAAACTACATGTTCTCACAAATGACAACTTGTGTGGCATGTGTTTTAATCATTACAAATCAGAGAAATTCAGCCAATTGAATATAATTTTACTTCTGTGCATTTGCATGAGAAATTAACAGGGTTTCCTCATTCTCATCATTTCCTACAATGTAGACAAGGCATGGGACAAACAGGTGAAAGTTGCTTCAATATACAGAGTCTGAAAGTGGCAATACACAAACAGCACTACTGTCAACATACCTTTGTTTAAAAACATCCCCATTTTTTTCCTAAGAATGGCTAAGCTAGTAGGCACCAGGCTGTACACTAACAGGAACGCCAAAACATCCCCAAAGCAAGGAAGAACTATTCTTATATGCTCCCAAGACACGTTCTTCCTCAAATTAATTCACAAACAACAAAAATGTTCTGACATTAGCTTAAAAGATAAAAATAAAGTATTAAGAAAGACCCTCCTAGAACAACCTTACCTTTATCTAATTAATTTGGCTTCTAAATATCTCTATCACTGACAAAGGCCTAAATCAACTTGTTGAATTTCTGGAGCAAGAACCCCATAGGTACACTTACTGCCCACCACTATAATGAAACATCAAGTCAAAAATATCCAATATGCTAGACCACTAAACTCGGAAGAAAACTGTATTCTATCCAACAGAAATGAATTTCACTTTAAGACATTTGCAGGGCTAATGCGCCATAATAAATTCTACTATTAATCAACAGTAAAGTGCTGAATTATATTAATTACCTGAATCGCACTCACATTTATGATCTTCATTGATAGATTTCTTATCAAGTCAAAAGAGCCCTTTCTGTTGTAAAAGCTAAGCTGTTGTGCAAATATTATAAAAATAGGTATTTTAATCAGGAGCTATATACACAACAGAACTTCGGCTTTTTGTTAAATACAGCTGACACAGTAGAGATGAAAAATCCATGCAAGTATTTATAAAGATAGTTAAAATGAAGAAAAAAGGACACTGCTATAGAACTTCCAATACCCTGGCATACAGCCACTTACTATATTAGATGATGTCTAGATCTGGACTGATAAGCATCATGCCACCAACATGCTTTAGTTTCTTTTGTAGCTAAAGTTGATTTGTAAATTTTAAACTACAGCATACATTTGATCTATTTCTCATTAAAGCGTATCATTAAGTTTGAGGTTAAACTTAGAGCAAACTTCACATCTAGTCACATAACCAGCACAAGCAAGACATTAGTGCAAAGGGGAAGGTGTCAGTTGTACATAATGTGGACTCTTCCCCTAACTGCACGATGCAATAAAACGATTTTCAGATTTAAAGTTCAAGTGGACTACGATGAGAAAAAGCGAGATTCTCTTCTCCCAAATTTAGAACAAATTTCCAGAGGATCATAAGGAAAGCAACCTCAATTACAGCAGTCAAAAAAGTCAAACCCAAGTTTGGAGAGCTGATAAGTAACTCCAAAATTCATCATGCTATGAAGACAGCATTCTCAAAAGAGCTCCAAACAAACTGCAAAACAAAATTGGCATTTAAGTTGAAATTGGCCAAGTGCTGCATAGAAATATGCTCACACACAACAGTCATGTTTAAGCCAGTGCATAGAGAAGATAAAAGCACTTATGGTAGTTGCAAATGTTAACAAGTCCATACAACTTCTACAGTTTAGCAATGAGTCCATAGAAAAAGAATAGAGGAAGAGTAGAAATGCTCAAGCAAAACCAAAAAAAAGATGACCTTCCAACGGTATAAAATCCACATAACAGTTATAGTAAAAAGACATCAGTGGAAAATACTCAACTCAGTCCCAAACACCCAACAGGCAAATAAGACCAGAACAGACAAGCCTTTGGCAGACAATTTTAAGAGTCTAAATATGGCATTACATTTCTAAATAATCCACAAAATATATTATATGGCATATTCATATTAAATACTGGATAACCAACTCTGCAGACCTGATGCTAACAACACTTTAGCCAATGAGAGCAAGATGGAGCAAGCTAAGGGAACGCTGGTGTATCACAACAGTGCTCAAGGAAAATATCGTCACCAAGTCGTGCTTCAAAAACAGTACTCTGGGACTCCACACTATCATCTATGGAGCAAAACAAAGTTCTCTAGTTTTTCAGGGATGTGCCCTGTGTAGTATATCTTATGATTTACTATTACACGAGCAGCAAGACACTGCAACGTAGTATGATTTATGGGCTGGATTAAATTTTTTGCTATTTCCTTCTCATCCAGCAAATCACTAGCAGTTTGTTTATGCGAGTTTGTGGCATCAAAGTGTGAACCTGACTTGATAAGAAGATTCATGATGTCTGGATGGTTGTTCAGTGCAGCAATGTGTAACGGACTGTTGTTATCAGAGTCTCTGACATTTACATCAGCACCACATTCCACCAGGATAGCAGTAACTTGTAGAGAGGGGAATTTACAAACTGGGTAGCGACCCACACATGTAGTATTATTGTCAACAGCAAGGTGAAGTGGACTGAAGTTATTCTTCCCTCTAGGCTGAAGCTTAAGAAACTTGTAAATAGTCTGTTTCTTAAAATGCTCCTGTTCTGAGCTGCAAGGTACTTTCTCCAACAAGCAAATTAAATGCAAAATGATGGAAAGGGCTTTGTTCAGCTGTATTGGATCAGGAGGACACTGGGTTTGTTTCATGGCCCGTTCTATTTCAAGAACACTTTTGCACAGTATACCCATGAGATCATCAAATGTGACAGTAGTGCCTAGCAGGCCTTTTGCCCTGTCCTGCAGCATGAAGGAGAAAAGTTCAGCAAATGACAATAAACTGCTGGCTGTCATAGGGCTCAGCGGATCAAGATTGCTCTGCTGCATGTCCAAGGCATATTTCCATAAGTTGATGCAACGCTTGAAGTTTCCAGAGTCTGCATAGACAGCACCTCTGTACCTAATATAGTAGGATGTATCTGGGTGAGACGGGCCAAGAATACGTTCTCTAATTAATAGTGCTTGCATTCTCATTTCATCAGGGTCTGCAATAAGATTTTCTAGCTCTTCTGAGCTGTTTACCTCTTTAGCATAATCATACGCCATAATTAGTGTTTGTGGCACAGGTTTGCTCAGGATATTAGTCCTATCACTGTATCTCATTTCCATAGCTCGCTTCCAGTATTTCAAAGCACCAAGCAGATCTCTCTTTTTGTCCACGAATGTTGCTCCTAGAAGTTCCAGAGCATTTATGCGCTCAGCCTTACTGGTCTGTACATGCTGGGTCAGAAAGTCCACGATATTTGTGTGGCCTGTCACACTAGCTGACAGAAGAGGAGTCATTCCATAACCATCTTTTTCCATTTTAGCACAATACTTGAGAAGCATCTTCATGATCTCCAGACTTCCAGATTCCGCACAGTCATGTAATGCGGTGTTTCCTGCAAGAGAAGAAACACAATTATACAAATCGTAATCAAATTATAGTCCAAACCCACACACACTAATAGTTAAAAAAAATTACTTAAAAAATAGTTTTAAAAAGCCAAACATTAATAGTTAAAAAAATAGTTGTTTTGACACCTATGGACTATGAAAGGCTTAGATGACAAGTCAAAATATTCAAGATTTGATTAAATATCAAAGCTGCCAGGCAGTTATACAAATCAAAATACTTAATATTATTGCCTGAAGGAATTAAACAGGTTTTAAGGACCTTTTCTGTCTCATTATTCAAAAAAACAGAATTAAAACAGAATTCTCCACTACATAAAAGCACAGGAATGGGCAATACCATTGTGTCGAAAGTCAAGGAAGCGGGACAAAAGACCAGCTTGGCTGAACAGGGAACTCCTCGTGGATCTCAAGAAGAAAAAGAAATTGTACACTCTCTGAAAGCAAGGTCAGGCTTCGCAGGAAGATTACAGAGCTGTGGTTCATATATGCAGGGAGAAGACACAAAAGGCCAAAGCTCAATTAGAGTTGAAACTGGCCAGTGTTGTGTCAGACAACAAGAAGGGCTTTTTAAAGTATGTTAATAGCAAGAGGCCTAAAGAAAACATCAGACCAACACTTGTTGAAGATGGTCACCTGACTAACAGGGATGAAGAAAAAGCGGAGGCATTCAGTGCTTTTTTTGCCTCTGTCTATAGTAATACAGATACCTTGGGCTGCCTGGTCCCTTAAGTCGGAGGACCACGAGTGCGGGAACAGCAACTTTCCATTTGTGGACACTGAAATTGTAAGGGACCAGC